GACAAAAGTGGAACTCGAAAGGCCGTTCTACATTAAACGCAAGTCGCAGATCTCGTGGAATTGACCAATTGCAGAGTCAAATCAGCCATTCGACCAACGTGATTGATCAGTTCCACGAGAGTTGCTACTTGAGTTTAATGGAGAACGGCCTTTGAGTTCCACTTTTGTGGAAATACGGCTAAAACCAGCGGCTGAAACCGTCGTAAGAAACTACAATGGCATGGCCGCTCTCAGGCTTCTCTCTGATGGGAACCTAAATGATTGTGCAGTGCGCATACGCGAAAACGCGACTTCGCAACAACACTGGGCACATGACTCGGCATTGCTTGCGCGTGTTCGGCCACCGTCGATCGTTCCCGGTAAACACTGGTCAACCACATTCGACCATTTGACTACGATAACCGATTGACTATTTGATTTGATCGTCGACTTCATTCGGTAGTAGAACGTTAGTGTGTGATGAAGTTATCTCGCGAATCCTGTTTTTTATTACACCGCTATGGAATAAAAATGTATTGTCGGTACTGTACTGATTGTAAAGTATGATCGTGTGTGGACTTTATGATGGCGTACCGGTTGGCAAGTGCGGTTGTGCAGTGTTAATTACGTATTGTTCGCAACATCGTCTTCGGAATTCTCTGGAAGCCTGGAACAACAGTACATAAGTATGGCACAACGAGCAGAGCCGCAATCAACAGGTGAGATCTATGTAGGGAGAACAATAAGGGCAAATTTAGCGCGTTATATTTCTTATGAGGCAAAATTAACATGTGAACATTATATTGTATATACATTAACGAAGAAAATGAGCCGTGAATCGAATAAAAGAAGTGAAAAATAGAATGCGAGACGAAAGAAAGCATACAGTGCAAAGTACTTATTATGTCCCATCTGCGGGGTAAAAGCATTATACGAAACCACTTGAGCACTGTTAATAGGGCGAGCGCGATTGAGCACGCCCTATATATGTATATATATATTTTTTTATTTTGATAATGATTCTTTCTAAGTCTTTATTAATAATGAATTATGAATAAAAACTTAGAGTCTTATTCAATGAATTCATGTATACAAAAATGGAATAAAGTAGTCTCTCGCTAATGTTTGCACATTTTTTTGGTATTGTTCACGGAGTCATCCTCACCAATTCTTGGAAGTGCTTCGACGAAACTAGCGTTCGCGTTATGTATATAAACATATTTTGAACGCTTCTCTCAAGGGCGAAAGTAAGAACCATTGAGTGTGAGTGAGATAGAAGAGAGATTCAATATCTGTTTATTATACAGTAGAACCTCGATAACTCGAATCTCAAGGGAAGAGCTAAAATTTTCGAGTTGTAGAGGTTTCGATTTATCAAAGTTCTTTTTTCCTTTCCGCGGAGCAGAAGGGAATGAACAAAATTTTCGTTCTATAGAGGTTTTCGAGTTATTGAGGTTTGACTGTACAGACGGCGGAGTAGGCGCGGGGATCGAAGAGCAAGCGAGGCGGTTGCTCGTAGCGCCAGCAAGCAACCGTACAAAGTAGTAGCAGTCGGTTGTCCGCAACCACGTCGTGTCGATAATGTAACTACTCTTCTTTTCAAGTTTCTTTTCAAAACGTAAAACTATTGGCCATTTACAAAATATCTAACGTTAACAAATAACATGTATATGTATACATGTGTATAATAAATGAAATTCTAATGTATATTTGTTAACGTTAGATATTTTGTAAATGGCCAATAGTTTTACGTTTTGAAAAGAAAATTGAAAAGAAGAGTAGTTACATTATCGACACGACGTAGTTGCGGACAATCAATTGCTACTACTTACTTAAGTAAGTTGTACGGCGCTCGCTGGCGCTACAAGCAATATTGAACTTGCTCTTTGTAAGTTCTGTGGTCGTCACAGTGCAATTAGCTTAAGCCTTAATATATTAAGCTCCGACCAATCCGAGAGAAGTATCTTTACATACTTCCTTCTGTGATACTAGCTTAAGTCTTGACGATGTGATTTCCT